TAAGATGAAGTAGCATTGTCCCCAAAAGAAAGGAAGCAAGGGACTTCTTCCAGAGAGACTTTTTCCAGGCTTAATGCCCAAATGTTGACAGTTTGATGACTTCACAGAGATACCACATGGAGGATTTTTGGGGTACCTGTGCGTGGATATCGTGTATGCAGTGAGGTGACTATTATGAAGAAAAAGGTTTGTATACCCAGGTCCCTAGAAACAGGAGGCGGACTCCATTGTGCCGGGCCACTGGGGCCAGCGGAGGCAGGGGAGTATGGGAAGGCAGGCAAGAGCTTTTCTGTGGAAGGAACAGAGAGGGCGGACTACAGAGGCCCAGATTTGGCTGCTGTGGGTGATGTCAGGGGCTCTGGGGCATAGACTGTCTGGTTGCCTGGAACCTGGCCCTGGGGGTGATTAGCGCTGAGCCTAGCAGTCCCGAGTGGGAGGCGAGGTGGCAGCAGCAGAAGGAGAACCCAAGCTGTGGAGTGTTTGTTGTGCATAGGAGGCGTGTGTCCACAGGCACCCTGTCCTGCACTGCCTCTAGAAGGCGGCTATCCCGGGCCCTCCCTGGTGGTGCAGCGGGTCAAGGCGCAGCACTGCAAGCGAGCAGCAGCCATTTCAGTGCGAGTTCGACCCCCGGCCCGGAGGTGACCCACAAGGCACAGCAGACCTCTCCTGACCCACCCGCTGCTCCCCTCAGCAGTGTACCTCAACAGTTGGCCTGTTCTGCTCCCCACTCTGTCTCTGGTGATTCCTCGAACCACCCCTGCACCTCTAGTCTGTACCCCAGTTCTGTATGCATCTATAAATAAGTCTTTAAAAAAAAAAGAAGAAATTGGCTAACCCCACCAGACCCCAGATGTCAAGGTGTCTGAAACACATAGTTAATAGACGAAATCTGCCACAGAGAGGGGCGCCCCAGGGTAGCCCTCTGTGCAGGAACCCAAGGGCTTTGTGCGCAGGGTGAGGAGAGAGGTGTACTGATAGCAGGAGAAAGAAGACGCCAGCCAGCCCAGTTCAGATGGCGGAGGCACTTCCTGAGGTACTCCTGTCTGACTCAGCTCTGCCGTAAGCCAGCTGAGGGCTGGAAGCTGGGCACTCCCGATAGCTCTTGCCCTTTGACAGCCCAAAAAAGGGGAGAAAAAGAGTGAGTATTTCTTGGAAACTTCTGTGTGCCAGGCACTGTGCCAGTGCTTTCCCAGAAATTCTCATCAATAACTTAGCTCAGATGGTTGCACATGCGCTGCATTTTTAATTAGTTTTACAGACGAAGAAACTAAGGCTCAGTCAGCAACCAGCCTACAGTAGCAGCTGATGGGGGTAGAGAAGGGATGTGAACCTGCTTCCTAGAGTCTCGGCACAAGCCAACATGGAGTCATAGTCCTGCGGCCTTGCTTTATCAGTGGGGATGCAGGAAAAGGGGACCCTGAGAGGAGGGTGGTGAGCGAGGGGATGCGTGACACCTTGGAGGCGGTAGAGAGGCTGCTGGAAGGGGAAGAGCTGCTTGGTTTTAGCTTTCTTTGAAAGTTCTTCCTCTTGCTTCTTGTGGGTCATGGATTCACAGTATTTTTCTGGCTTGGTCAGGGAGTAGGAAGCAGTGAGGGAAATGTGAGGTTGTATTTGAGTACCAGGTGGTCCTTTAGCTATTACCTAGTTTGCACAGAGCATTTTAAGTAGGAGAAAAAGAAAAGGCCCAGAGAGGGAAAGTGATTTACCCTGAGTCACACAGCTGGTTTAGAGGCATATACAAGGTGTGTCTGCCAGTGGCCCCAACTCTGTGAGAACTGTAGGATAAGTCTCCCCCTAATTAACTCCTGCATCATTTGAATCTGGAGCTTTTCCTACAGCAGCCTGAGAACATGGCTTCAGATGACTCTGTGGATTCCAAAGAACTTAGTGCCACTAGTTCTGGTTGCAAATGATGCTCTTTGTGATAAGACACCAGACCTCACTTACTGTTGTGTGAGTGGAAAGTGATGTCAGTTAGAGCCAAGGTCATGCACTTTTTTTGGTGGCCTCAGGCTGACCCCTTGTTCTTGGTTCCAGATAACAGAATCCACTTAGTTAAAGCAGAAAGGGATTTACTAAGGGTACAGCTAACTCCACATTGTAGACAAGCTGAAGAAAGACCCTCAGCTGAGTTTCCAGGATTTCCCCCCAAATTGCATGGTGAAATAAAGCCACTGTGAATCTGCTGCCTCTGATGGGATCACAGAAGTGCTGCCGTCACTGCAGTTTCCAAGAGCTGAGCCACCGCGTGACATTGTGCACCCGTGGAACAACACCGTGAACCTCGTCATTCTTCAACTGGAGCCTCGCTCTGAATCCAAGTCTCAGGCAAAGGCCACTGAGTGGTTCAACCATTGGGACCCCTAGCTGCAAGGGAGTCTGGGAAATGTTTTTCGCTTTCTTACCTCCGTAGAAAAGTAACAGAGTCCTTCTGTTTGAGGTATGCACAGTTCGGAAAGGGAAACAGACACGACTTGCTATTACATAACACAGTGTTGTTTGTTTTAGTTAAAGCTACAATGCATAAAGGGGCCCTCGGAGTGGGGGGTCAAGAAGACTTTCCAGAGTAGGGCCATTTGAGCTGGGTACTGAAGGATCAATATGAGTTTGCCAGGTGAGAAGGACAGAGAAAGGAGACCCAACTACAAAGGAGACAGTGAGGAGAAAGAGAATGTGATACTTTGGGGGTCCTCTGTGCCTTGTTTTTATTAACTCTGCTTAAATTCTTTTATGACCTGAGAACAAAGAAGGCTATTTTGTGAATAGGAGTCATTTTATTTTAATATGTTAAAATATGAAAGTTCTTAAATATATAGTTAGGATAGTTTGAAATTAGCTACTAAATCATATTAAACTTAATAAGAGGCACTATATATATATATATATATATATATATAACACATTTAAAAGTATTAAATGTGAAATTATATTGAAAAGTTATTTTAAATGAAATATTTTTATTATTTATTTATTTTTAGAGATTTACTTATTTGTGCATACAGAACTGGGGTACAGGCCAGAGGCTCAGGGGTGGCGAAAGACTTCACCAGAGACAGAGCGGGGAGCAGAACAGGCAGATCGTCGAAGTACACTGCTGAGGGGAGCAGCGGGCGGGTCAGGAGAGGTCTGCCACGCCATGTGGTCACCTCCGGGGCAGGCGGGAATCAAACTCATGCGGAAGTGGCTTTAGCTTCTCAGTGCTGTGCTTTAACCCGCTGCGCCACCAGGGAGGCCTTAAATGAAATATTTTTAAAAGAAGCCTATTTCTTGAGTAACGTGTCTTAGTAAGTCTAAAGCAGCACATACTTAAGTTTGTACATGTAAGTCAGGCATTTGGAATCACTATGACCATAACTTGGGGAAGTCTCCGGCAAGTTCTGGAGGAATGACTTTATTTTCAATCTTTGGTCATGTCTTTAAGGACCCTTGGGTGCCATTCCCACTTCTGATTCTCCAGGCACAGTGTCACGAGGACACTGACCCCAGGGTGACTTGACCTGCGGACTTCTCGATTCTCTAGCGTTAATGCGTTAATGCTGTTATGGGCTCGGACACCTGCTGCTTAACCTAACCCAGCCTCTTCTGAACAACCTCCAGAGAGGCCAGGAGGAGAGGTTGTACCTGACCTCTGCCGGAGGGAGGCCCCCTCCTGCCTCCATGGTCGAGCCCCACAGTGAGCTACAGATTCACCACACTTTACTGCACTTATTTTATTGCACCCTACAGATACCATATTACATGCATCAGATACATTAAATACAAGCCTAAGGTTTGTGGCAACCCTCCGTTGAGCAAGTCTTTTGGCACTGTTTTTCTTCCAACTTTCACTTCGTGTCTCTGGCTCACAGGTATGAAGGAATACACAGTTCTTCAGACATATTACTATGACACATTCACTAGACTACAGTCCAAAACAGCTGTGTGGTCTGTTTTATTGTAATAGTCGCTTTGTTGTGGTGGCCTGCAAGCAAAGCCAACACATTTCGAGGTGAGCTTGCCCTGTTTTGTCTTGGAGGGGACCCTGCACCCAGCCCCAGTTAGGTATGGAGGTGTGGCTAGGGGAGGCCTTGATGTGGCCACAGGGCCTTTCCAGGGGATGCAAGCTGAGCAAACAAGAACAACAACATGGAGATTCTTGGCCAACCCCACCACCCACCATCTGTGTGGCTCTGGGCAAGTGAGCTTACTCCCATGATGCCATCTATCCTGCAGGCTGGCTGTAAAGACTCAGTGCCCACATTCCTGTCAGGTTCTTGGCCCTGAGTTAGCTGGTGGTGGGGGCTCAGCAAGCAGTTAGTATTGTTACCCTGCATGGAGCCATGGATGGTGATCGGATGCCCTGTGCCAGCTGGTGTTGGCAAGGGCTTGAGCTCCTGTTCTGAGAGACATAAGCCAAGCCCTGCCCTCTACTGACAATGTGACCTGGAGTGTTTAGCCTCAGTTTTCTCAAATGCCAAATGGAAAGAAAGAAATGTCAGTCTTAGTCACAATGGAAGCCTGAGGATTGAGAGAGTGCACAAAAATGGAAATGTGTGTGGTAGAAAAAGCAGATCTCAGTTGTCTGTGTCTGCCAGTGGATGATGCTTTTCCAAGAAAGAGGAGAGAGGGGTAAAAGCTGAAAAGAGCAGGGCATGCTGATTGCCTGAAGCTCACCACCCTGACCTGGGCACTGCCTCTTACGGTGAAGAGCCGGAGTGTGAACGCGCAGAGCTGGAACCTTCTCCCCTCACCTTCACAAACACTGACTTGCAACCAAACCTGCCTCTGAATTCTGAATTCATGCGCTGAAGTGGGTTCAAACTCCCAGGGTAGCGGGGTGCTGCAAGCAACCAACCACCCAGTGATTAGGTTGGAGGACCCCTGTGGTCTGGAGGCCCCCACCAGGTCATCTGCTGGAATGGGGCAGGTTTGCACTATTTATTTGACCAGGCTTGACCTCTGCCCCCAAGAGTTCCGGCAGGCTTTTCTGTGTAGTAACCTCTGTTCCTGTTGGTTCCCAGGTACTTTGAATTTTACGAAGGGCCTTTAGAATATAACTCCACAAGATGTCTGGAGCTGAGACATGACATCTTGGAAGTGAAGGTGCTGTCCATGTAAGTGTGGTTGCAGTGGGTGGTGGGTGCCCCGTGCATGTGGAGCTGGGGCAGGGTTCGGGTATGGGTGGAAGGAAACTGGAAATAGGGTGGATCCAGATGGATCAAGTATTAGGTCTACTTTTCTGGCCTCCCTGACATTTGGGGACCCCTGGAGGACTGAAGTGATGATTGTGCATGTTTTATGAACCAAGGCCAAGTTTGCAGGGTCACCTCTGGTGACTCGGGCATTTCAGTCCCCAGCTCAGTTACTGGTCTCTGCGATTATCATCAATGGGCTCCTCTGTATAGAAACTGAAGAGGGTACATGATTATCTCACCTGAAATCCAGCACTCACCCTGCAGGGCTGAGAGTGGCTGCTTGCTGTTGCATTTGAAACATTTTATGTTCATGAAAATACTTCTTTTGTATTATTTAAATGAGACAACATTCAATTGGTACAAAAAGGTGTGCAGGGAACAGTGCTCTGCTCACAGCCACCACCCCCCTCCTCAGAGGCAGTGAGGCTTTCCCCTTCCAGAAGCTGTGCTGTGAGCACCTGCCAACGACTGGTCTGGCAAAAGAGTAGATGCCCCCCACACCCCAAAGTCATCAGTGTATCACATGTTCACATGTGGTTCTTTCATGACCTACAGAAGGAGAAACTCACTGGCTGCTGAGCACTTCAGTGTGTGGGACCCCAGCCTCCCCCCATGGGATCGCCGTGACCTCAGCAGACCTGTTCAGGGGGATTTATGTGGTGTTCATCATGATGGGATCTATCCATCTCTCTACTGATCAATCGATCGATTGATTGACATATGTATATATTTAAAAGCACTTGGAGATGGGGAAGAGATATGGTTTGTTCAGGCAATGTGGGTGCTTGCGTGGAGTCCAGGCCTGTGGCGTGAGTCCAGCTGCTGTCAGCCCTGGCCGGAACTGTCTTCCTTAGATGTTTGATGTAACTTCCAGGTAATGGATTCTAGAAAGAGCATGGACCTTGGCTTCGGGAAGACCTGGGATCCAAAATTGACTCTGGACCTTCTCAGCTCTGCGTTTTATGCAAATCACTTACCTCTCTGAGCCTTTCTTTATGTATACAATGGGGATACTATTACCTATCCTTGAGGCCTTGCTGGAGAGACCAGCTAAAAGAGTGTATGTGAGAGATGGCTACTTCCATAGTGGCGCACATAGTAAGCGCTCAGGAAGTTTTCATACGTCTCCTTCCCTCCCCTCTCCCCTTCATTTATTTTCTGGAACCAGCAGCAACAACTTTTCTGGACTGCCATTGAGACTCCATAGATTGGTAGCTGTGGAAAAGGTCCGAGGATAGACCAATGTCCATCTAGATTAGCTGCCCCTTCCTGACCAGCGATCCTCTGTATCCTCGCTAGAGGTAAACACGGGAGGACGCTCTCTGTCTTATCAGTCCTACTCAGTCCCTGGATGAGCACGTGCTGTGGAAGGTGATCGAGTTAACTGGACCAACAGGATTCCAGATCCGAGAAGCAGCTTGAGCAGAGGCCCTGTGCCAAGAGGGAGCCGGCTGGGTCTCAGGCTCTGAAGGGTCAGGGCGGCTTGCGGCCAGCATGAGAGGGGAGGTAGGAGGAAGCCATGCTGCCAGAGGAGCAGGTAGGGGCTGGAGCTCACAGGCCTGCAGGGCAGAGTTAGGTGTTATCTTTGTCAGAGGGTGATGGGTGGGTGGGGAGATTTTAAGCAGATGGTGGTGGTGTGATGTGAATTATGCTGTGATTTAGTGACATAAATGGCCGTCCAGACTTCAGTCAGGAGTCAAGTTCAACTTCATAATCTCTAAGCAGAGAGCATTTATCTTTTCTCAGATTGCAAAAACCTTAGGTCCTTAAATGTATCACGGTAGAAAGCAAACACACTCTCGTTGAAAGCATACCTTTGAGTTTTCAAAGGGTAAATCATTAATTTTTCAAATGATAAAGCACAGATGGTTTCTTCATCATTACTTCAAGGTCTTGACAAGAAGGTCTGAGAAACCCCATAAACTGATCCTCTGCTGTGTATCCCCCACACATGCTGAGATCAGTGCCTTATTAGTCTACTGTGGCCACAGACTGGGTTGCTTCAGCAATAGAACTTTATTTCTCACGAATCTGGAGATTTGGTGAGATGGAGGCACAGACAGGGTTAGTTTCCTCTGAGGCTTCTCTCCTTGGATTCCAAGAGTCATTCTTCCTCTGTGTCCTAATTTCCTCTTACATGGTATCAGTCACATTGGACTAGAGCACACTCTCTTGATGCCATTTTAAGTTAACTGCCTCTTGAAAGAGCTCATCTCCAGCTACAGCCATTCTGAGGTATCTTGGGATTAGCCTGGAGGGAAACAGCCCAGCCCACAGTCCCTGTCACACTATGCTAGAAGCTGCCTGGGGCCTTTGTTCCCAGCCTACGTGTGTGTGTGTGTGTGTGTGTGTGTGTGTGTGTGTGATATTCCTGCAAGGTCTGTACCTCTGCTTCCCGACTTGGCCTTGCCATGGGCTCCTTGGGTGTCATCTGCTGCTCTCCGTTCTGGCTCTGGTTCTCGTCACTGCCCTTGTGTGCCCTCTCTGAGCCTGCTGAGCTAGATGTTTATCCTCTTTGGACCTCTGGGTCTTGAATGGCCCCATCTCTGCATTGGAAGTTGCCCTCCCTGGGGCCCCCAAGCCTTGAGTGTCTGGTGGCACTGGGAGAGGAGAGGCAGGGCTGTCTGTGGAGTGTTAGTGTGTCAGCCTAAGGGGACACAAGGGAGACGGAGCTCAGTGCCTCCTTCCCTGAGTCCTCAGGTGAGAGTCACAGACCCTAGAGGTTGGAGTCAGAGCACCCAGAGGTTGGTTTCTGGCCCAGTAGTTCTGATGCTCCTTGGGCATCCGTGGCTCTTGCTGTACCCAGCCCAGACCATGAGCAGGGCTCACGGAGACCCTGAGTCATTGAGAAAAGGTTAAATCTCCATCTGTGAATCAAGGGGGCTGGACGGATGTGCACCGAGCCCCTCAGGCACACGGATGTCAGCTGGCATTCGGGCTGAGAAGACTGGAGGTGTGTGATTCATCCGAGAATGATTCTGATCCAAAATTGCTCAAATCAATGGGAAAGATCAGTCAGCGGAAAATTCCCACATGGAAAATGCCTCGTTCCCTGACAATGTCAGACACAGGAGGGGTTACACTGTGATGATTTGTGAGGAAAATGCCTGTCCCTAATACTTGTAAAAATCACTATGCTTGATGTTTGTCATTGCAGAGTGTCTTTCTTTTAAACCAGGTGCTGCCTGTGTTTGCACCCAACTGAGGGTCGTGCCAGGGGCCTCTTCCCAAGGAGTTCACATGCTTTCCCTTCCCCCTATTTTTGGGGTGGAGAAGCCCACATGGAGACTACCCCCCTGGCAGCCCCTTTGTGCCCAGGCATCTCTGAGTCCTGAGTCTGACCTGTAGAGGTTCATGGGGGAGTGGAAGCAGGAGGTGGGCGGGCCCTTAAGGTTTATTCAGAAACAACGAGAAAGGCAAATCGGACAGTGTGTGTCTCATGGCGAGACTCAAGTGCTGGTCCCCATTAAAGGCCAGCACCCCCGATCTACCCTCTGGAGACTTCCTTCTTCCTTTTCCTGGGGTGGGGAAGCCATATCACTCCCTATGGGAGATGCAAGGCATGTTGTGGCCTCATTTTACGATGACCCTCGCGTGGGCACGCTCTTCTAGCTTCCTGACCACACTTAAGTAGGGTTTCGATATAGCAAATTTGACTAATAAAAAGGGACTGTCTCTTGCTCCATGTCCTGCTCCTTTTCACTCTTTCCTCTGACAATCACTCCCTCTCAGTAGTCTCCGTGTTCTGTTATTCCTCTATTGACCCATTTTTGTAGTGTGCCCTGGTGCCTTGCGTGATGGGGCTGGAAGGGGTCAGATCCTTTACAACCCACCAACTCCGCCACTTTCTCTTATTGAGGTTGTTTCTGTGTTTATTTCTATTTATAGATTGCCTAAGTTGCATATTTCTTGTTCTTCCGAATATTGACAATATCTCTGGATCCCTTATTTTGTAAGGGATTTTGAAGCTACTATTAGATTGCCCTTGTAATTCTGACTTCTGGCTCCAGTGTTCCATGAGTTTACTTACTTTTAAATATAAAGACTAATAACACTTATGTTCTATTTGTAACCATCTGAAGGCTCTTTGGGGCTTTCTCTGTATAGGTTGACTCTAAAATTTGAAGACCAGAAAATAGCAAATTCTCTTTGCCCCTACATTAATTTTCCATTTGTTCAGGAGCTTCTAGACAGCTTTCCCCTGTTGAACTCTTTTTCTCTATTCCCTATGTTCATGTTTTCTGGGTGCCCCACATGATGTTTCTCTGGCATTGTGGTGCCCCCCGCCTGGTGCTCTCCCCACAAAGGTGAGTCCTTTGTTCTTCAGGGAAAGAATTCATTCGAAATACAACGTGAAGCTGAACCAGGCAAGGCTTTATGAGATCCATGCATCCCCATGAGTCAGCCAGTGCTGGGAAGGAGATTTTAGCCTGGCTCCTTTAAGGAAGTTAAGAGGGGCTATTTAAAGAGTAATTTCTTGAGGTGGGGTGGAGAGCAAATTTGTTCATAGCATGCTCTGGGTTGGGCTATGCCTGGGCATGTGCGGATGGGTTACATTCCAAGTGCGAAGGTGAGCCTGCGACCTTCTCCTCCCAGGAAATTGTGGGATAATCATTAGTCAGGATCTAACACATTTTGCCTCACTGGCACCTTATGGTCAGTGTTGTGGGCCAAATTGCTTGGGCAGAGTTCTCCAAATTTCTTCTAATCTAGGTTGGAAATTTCTTCTATCTAGGCTGTCTCACTGTCTTCCCTGGTTTCTGCCTCTGGAGATTGGGCTCCTCTTTGCTTGGTTTATTCCTGTATCAGCTTCTATCCACCTTGAAGTAAATTCATAAGAAATGATAGGTGGGAGATAAGGTTTTGAGTCCTCTGTGTCCAACAGACTTAATTCTCCCCTTAAATCTGATTGCTAACTTTTTATTTTAGGTAAAACTCATTGCCCCCAGATTGCTGGAGAGCTTCATTACCCTGTAGCATCCAGAGTTCTATGAAGGTGATTCTAGTCGCTCCTTTGGGGGTGACCTGGTTTCTTTTCTCTGGAGTCTTTTCACATCGTGACAGTTCTGAACGGCCCTGGTACCTTAGGGCACACACCCAAGGTGATATCTTAATTTGGGGCTCTTTTCCAAACTCTAAATTTGTCTCTTGAATTTCTTTATGTTTTCTTCCACTTCCTCTTTCTGGTACCTCCAAGAGTTGCCCTCTGCGTTTCCTGGATAGCTCCTCTCGCACCATCTCTCCTTTTATATTTCTTTGCCCTTTGCTTCTACTTTTCTGAGGAAGTTCCTTGACTTTATCTTCAGTTCTCCAAATGAACTGTCCCTGCCAACTCTTTATTGGTTCTCTGACCAGTCTATTCCTATCTTAAGAATTCTGCAACTTGAATACCTCTGGGCACACTAAGTAGACCGTTTGTAAGTTCTGTTTTGTGCCTCCAGTAGTTTTCTCTGTGGTTGTGGTTTGGCTTGATTTTTTTCCAAGGTTGACCAGGTGATTCTGATTTCTATATTTAAGCCACCTGATTTAAATATTTAGAGCTGATAGGAGCTCTAAGTCCGAGAACCGGCCTTCTTTGAGGGTAATTGCTCAAGACTGCTGATTTTTAAAAAAAATTTTTTTTTTTTACAACATTTTCTGCTGATTTTTTGGCCACTAGAATGCCCATGTCTTTGCACATGGGCATCAGAATGGCATCTCTTTTTCTTTTTAGGTAGGAACTGGCAGTCCGATTCCATCCCCCTGTCCTCTTTGGGTGTTATTTATGGCAGCTTGGGGCTGGGACTGGTGGTCTTGGATGTGGACTCACAGTTGATCCCCATTTTTAGAGCCTTGTCCCTTCTCTACCCTCCCTTCCCCTTTACAGTTTTCCATCCCGGCAGGTCTGTCCCTGGGCTGTGCCTTCCCTCCTCCTTCCATTACATGGTTAAATTCCTTTCATATTGACAGACAACCCGCCTCCTTATCACCTGGTAGGTTTACATGTTTTTGTTCCTCTTCTGGAGGAAGTGGTGTCTTGGGAGAAAAGTGACATGTGTTTGGGACCAGGTTTTCATCTTTCAGATAAAGATGATCTCTTCATTTGTAAAGCAATTTGTAAAATATTTTATACATATTGTCTCACTCGATCTTCCCCTAATCTTTGAGATTGGTAGGGAAGAGCTTGTAATATTCTATCCACCTTCCAGATAAAGATGCTGAGCCCCAAAGAGATGGCATGACTCATCTGACCTTGGGCCAGAGTGTGATAGACTTTCAGTGGGGCCCAGACTCTGGTAACACTTGACCTTGAGCCCCCAGCTAGTCATGCTGTCGGGGCTGTTTCTGGCTCTAGAGGACCGTGGGTTGAGGGGAACAGGGAAGGGAAGCAGTGGGGGGGGGGCAGGGTGCACCGTGTCATGGCACCTCTCCTCTGACATCACATGCGCCCGAGAGATGAGAGTGCGGTGAGAGGCTTGGGAAAGCCGGAGAGGAGGTATCAGGATGGGAGGAGGGGGTCCCTCCAGCTCTTTAAAACTGCTAAGCTGTGTCCTGCTGCAGGCCCTTTGTACCTGCTTCTTCTTTCTGCCTGATACTCTTTCCCCAGATATTTACTCCTGTGTCATCTCATATTTTTGCACTAAGGTCTCCTCTTCAGGGAAACCTTCCCCAATCAACCCTTTTGAAACAGTCACTTTCTGATTCCTTTACTTTCTTTATTTTCTTTACTTTATTTTTTCTTCCTCGAACTTACCACTCCCTGCCCTGACAGGATATATCTGTTTCATAAAAAAATTGTGGTGTGGATACTTAAGGTGAGATTTACCTTCTTAACATGTTTTTTAGCTTTATAATACAGTACTATTAACATCAGGCATGAAGTTGTACAGCAGGTCATCTGACCAGAATGAAAGTATGAGTGGCTGAGAATTTGGGGGAGGCTGAGATCCTAGAGCATTCTGAGCATTTCTGCAGAAGAGGAGGAATCACCCTCAAAACCAAAGCTTACGTGAAAGCAGGAAGGACTTGGAGAAGGTGCATGGGAAAGAAGTAACCAAGGGCAGGGAAGAGAACAGGGATTCTGACGTGTGTGTGTGTGTGTGGGAGAGTGGGAGAGGCTTGGGAGGAGGCTGGTGTCCTTGAGGTTGGACAATGTCTGCAGGAGACAAGATGCCGAAGAGAAGGAGAGTGAGTGACTGAGGCTCGTGTGTGCATTGCTCTGTTTGTGGGTCATTTGTGCTTTGGTATGGTTCGTTTTTTCATTCATTATTGGCAGCTGAGTAAGTATTGTCCCCGGGGCTGGGGACAGTTGAAGTGAATGCATAATTATGCATGCAAATGTAAATATATAACTTAAAAATCTAATTATTTTTGTTGTTTTATCAAAAGAAGACTCCTCCATGATGTAAACATTCCCTCTCCAGAGAGCACTTTAGGACAGTATAAGCTGAGATGTTAACTCCACCTGGCACAAAGCCGTTGCAGGTGGTTGTTCAGACAAAAGGAATATGATTCAAGTTTCCATTCTGTTCTTTTCTGTCATTTTGAAATTGTGCTGTGCCCTTGAGAAAGGAGAAAGAGAAGTCATGCCTGCTAACGTGAGCCCCACCGTGTGCTGAGCACAGTGGGTTGGTTCAGAGACCTGTTAGGAAGCAGGTGGATGCCCTCTGCAGTCAGGTGTTCTGGGGAGAGCTGTGTCAGCCCTTGGAGTTGCCCACACGAGGAAGGAAGCTTTAAAATGTGCCCAGGATTCGTCTTAGTTAGGTATGGTCAGACATGGACATAGAAATGACCATCTAGAAGTAAGACGTTCTTGTCTTTGCAGATCCCTAGAAACAGGAGATGAGGCACATCATGCAGGCACAGAGGATGTGGGGAAAACAGGGGTTTGAGCCCTGATCATGAGTTCTGTGGAGAGGAATAGTTAAGGCAAGGGAGACACAGGTACAGGGTTGGACGCTTTGAATGATTTCAGCAGGCCCTGGGTCATAGGGACTGCCCCTAGTTGTCTGATACCTGACCCTGACATGATCAGGCCAATGGGATTGTCCTGAGAAAAGGTGGTTGAGGGGCCCTCCCTGGTGGCACAAAGGATTGAAGCGCAGCACTATGAAGCTCTCTGCAGCCACTGCAGCATGAGTTCGATCCCTGGCGAGAAGGGAAGTGACCCATATGGCACAGCAGACCTCTCCTGTCTCACCTGCTGCTCCCTTCAGCAGTGTATTTCAGTCAGCTGGCTTGTTCTGCTGCCCGCTCTGTCCCTGGTGACCCCCCAGTTCTATAGGCATAAATGAATAAATCTGAAAAAAAAAAACAAAAAACAAAAAACGGTGGTGGCGGGCATAGGGTCTGGATTGCTCGGTTTGCATGTGAGAGGCATGCTACCCGAAAGCCACTTGCTCTCTCTAGGAATTAGCAAGATCCCAGGTGCCAGAGCATCAAGAATATAGAAAATAAGAAAATACCGTTAACAGACAGGAGTAGGGTTTGGCTTATGGAGGAGCAGGAAGGTGACGAGTCTGGGAGTGATGGCGCTGTCCTGCAAGGTCTCTCACGCCTTCTTCTGTCCTCCCCAAGGGTGAAGCAGTCGGAGCTGTTCGATAGGTGGCGGAGCCTGCAGATGTGCAAGTGGGCGATGAACATCTCCGAAGCCAACCAGTTCAAGTAGCGCTCCTCTCTGTCCTTCCACCCTCTGCACGCGCGGTCCTTCTTCCTGTCCTGCGAGGCCCCAGTGTAGTGGTTTTCAGTGGCACATTTTCAGGAATGTGAAATGTGGATGTTTAAAGTGATGATCCCCACCCCAAGACCCAAAGAGTAGGCGCCACAGCCCCAAACCAGAGGCCTCCTAGCGACTCCAGAAGTGCAATTAGGACCCAGCAATAATTTGCAGAGCCCCTTCTGTCCTGAAAGTAGAATGTGAACTTGAACAAAGTGCAGAAGACGAGAGAGCAGGTTCAAGACCCATTCTGCAAGTGCAGCCTCCGGGCTCTGCCCAAGCAGAGGTGCCGTGAGGTGGGTGGGGCCAGAGCACACTGGGGCTGACTAGCACACAGCTTAGAGGAGGCCATGGGGTCCGGTAGGGTGTTGTCTGCCTGAGAGCTGGTGGGAAGCCGCCTTCGAACTTTGGCAGTGCTCTTATATATAAGGAAATAGTAAAGTAACAGGAAGATGTGTGGCAAGAAACATACGGAGATAAGAGTGGGAGGTGTTAACAGGGTTAGTGCCCCCAGCACTATCCAGGGGGCAGTCTGTGGCCTTTGTGGGGCTTGGAAGGAGTGGTTTCAGGTGTGGGAAAGGGAAGTGAATCAGGTCTCGCCATACTTTAAAGAAATAAATTTCAAGGTCAGTTGATCACCTCCCTCCGCTCTCAGACAAGCTCATTGAACAAGGATGAGATTTAGATTCATCAGAACGTTGTCGAGTGAAATGGGGTGTGACGGGGGAGACAGGCATTGAATACTCTGAAAGGAGGCATCCCCTAACCCTGCCACACACAAATAGACACACTGGCATTCTGGCTTATGTATCAGTCACTTGTGAGCGTGGTTACTATGAGTTGATCTTTCTCAATAGGTTCTCTGGTGGACTCATGAGTCTGAGTCTCTGGACTAGCAAAACTAAATGGGCCAAATGCTGTAGTGCTGACCCATGGTCCTAGCCTGGCCAGGTCTCATCCCTTTCCTCTGAGAAGCCTCATATTCTGAAGCCCAACCTCCATTGGAAAGACTTCTCTCTGTGCCCAGAAATCAGCTAAGCTCCCCATGAAGTTCCTGCAAGAGACAAAGTCCTTAAAAAATTATTTGTATGACATTCCTGGCTTTGGCAAACTGGAATCACAGAATTCCAGAGGTCAGAGGTGGAAGAGTCAAGCTTACATTACACAGATGAGGCCAGAGAGAGGAAGAGAACTAGGGGGCCCTGTAGTTGGTGAGGCAAAGCAGGAACTAGAATCCAGGCCTAACACAGCTCAGTGACCCAAGTCTCCATCCCGACCGTGGGAGCGGATTTTTCCAGAAAGTTCATTCCACAACTTTTGTAAGTAGTCATTGTCCAGGCTCCATGGAGAAGGTGTCCATTCCTCTCTGGTCACCTGAATACCAGAGGTGACCGTGCCAGTGTCAGGAAAGTAGGCCTCCAGGTGCCGCACCTTGCTTCCCCTTGCTGTAGATTCCGCATCCTGATTCAAAATGGTGACAGCTTGTATCCTTCCAGCCCAGCCCCCTGTAGCTGGGACCAAGGGCCCCGTGTCCCCAGCACAGGATCACTGGCTCCCCTTGGAGGATGCAAGACTGTGGACACACAGGCTGCAGGGAAGGGTGGGGTGGGGGGCAGCTGAGGCTGTCGCAGCTAACTAACTTCATTTCCCCAGCCCTTCTGTTGCTCATAGCTGAGTGATTGTGTGAGTGAAAACTGCAGGTTTTTTTTTTTTTTTTTTAATGAACTTCTAAAATCTTCTTGGGGATCCAGGTCACATTTCTGTAGGAAACCACCCAGGGTCAGCTCTCAACCCCAGCCCAATGTCTGACCCTTCTGTGTCCCTAAGGCAGTTCCTGAATGATGGAAATCACTCTTTCGTATTGACCCATTGACAGAGTAAGCACTTTGACTGCAGTCTGCCAGGGGCCCAGCACCCAAGGAGAGTGCTGCTTCCTGGGCTTTCTGGACAAAAAGTGTGTTTTCCCAAAGCAGTGGATGGAGTACTTAGTGGATCCTGAGGGGATCCCAACGGAGGCAGGATTTATTGGCAGTGGGCCAGCCTGGAGGCTAACAGCCGCAGGGGTGAGCCAGGCGGGGTCCCTGCCACCAGGGGCCTTCATTCAAGCAGGAGGGGTTGGCAGGTCATGAAGCGGGCAGCACTGGTCTGGGCTCCAGGCCTTCAGAGGCTAGTGTGGTCATGGCGCCCAGGCAGCTGGGGGTGAAACCACCTGGCTTGTCCTGGAAAGGCAGCGTCTGGGGAAGTGGGCAGGCCCAGGCACTAGGGGGAGTGTTGGAGGGGGAGGGGCAGCCTGAGCAGCCTGTGGGGCGGGAGGGCTGGTCTCCCTAGAGGCCTGGTTCTGGGTCCCCTCTGTTCACCTGCCTGCCTGCTGCCCATAGGTCCACTCTGTCCAGGTGCTGCAACGCCCCCTCCTTCCTCTTCACCACCCAGAAGAACACGCCCCTGGGGACGAAGCTCAAGTATGAGGTGGACACGAGTGGCATCTACCACATCAACCAGGAGATCTTCCGCATGTTCCCCAAGGTGCTGCTTGGAGAGGGGCCATCTGGGGGTGGGGGACAGTGAGGCCAACTCAGGGGCTCTGGCCACGCCCATCATTCACTCTGCCCCCTGTACGCAGCCGTCCTGGTCCTGGCTGGCCACTGTCCAAGGCTCGGCAGACAGGCCTCTGGCCATCCACAGTGTCCTACGTCCTACCTGGGCACAACGAATGCCAACAGGCGAATATTTTAGTGATGTTAGACAAGGAAGTCGCTGTGAAAAGTTGGTTACTGTATTGCTCTGCAGGATGCGGAGCATGATCGAGCGTTTGTCCCCCACCCCAAACATGTCTGCACCGGGTGTGTGCACAAGAACCCCAAGACAATGCGGGGCACGAGACTGCGCACATGGGGGTCACTGTGTCTTTCAGTCTCAGGCTCCTTATCTGTCACCCTGAGGTTTAGATGAGAAGTGGTTTTGCTGCTTGAAACAGCAAATTTAAAGTGTCAGAGACTTAAGGTCGATGTTCATTGTTTTCCTTTCACATAAAGAAGTCGGGAGCTGTTCATTCAGGGCCAGCACGATGGCCTCCTGGTCGTGGGCCAACCACGACATATTCGAATGTCACAGCTGGGGGTGCTCTTGCCTTCTCCTAAGGGGAGCCCAGAAGATGTTGAGCGTCCTCCAGTGCCTTGCTCAGTCCCTGGGACAAAGGTCGGCGGTATCCAGGGGGCTATTTTACCTCATCTCTTTGAAATGCACATTGTACTCCTGATTTTACAAACTACAAAATTTTATTCTGTAGCAAGTTTTCCAAAGCTGAGTGTCAGCATAAGAACCTTGTCCAATGTCCCCTCACTTCATTATGGGGCAAAATCAGGATGAAGTTTGTGTCCTTTGACGAGGGTGTCCACATTCTGGGCACTGCCCCTGCTCCTGGGCAAACTGGGATGTGTCACCCACCCTTGACTCCAGGTCTGTGTTCCCACCTGTGTCACAGGGTCTCCCAGCTCCACCTGCATCAGGCTGCCCAGGAGAGTTAGGGTCAGAGAGGGGCGTGCCTCCTCCTGCTCAGGCCAGGCTTCCTGCCAACTTGCCTGTGCCCCTGCGGGAAGCCAGGGCCCAGACTGGCTGCCACCCGAGGTGGGATGAGTCAAAGTGCTGGCCCTGGCAGCCTTTCTACCAGGCCATCATCACTCAGGGTGAGTCCTGGGCACTCAGTGCTTCCTTTGCAGAGACCCCAGGTGTCCCAGCTTCTCACTGCTCCCTTTGATGTGGCCTGGCTCACCCACCTCTTAATCCCTGCTGCTGCCGGTCCTGGCATCTGTCCCAGTCTGCGTGACCTTCCTGTCCCAGGCCCGTAGCCTCCCTGCAGAGCAGAGGGTGAGTCTGCCACTCTGAGCTGGAAGGGATGAGGACCAGGTTGGGGACCCTCATCCCCAAACTTGCTGCCACTGTGCCCTTGAATATCTGCATTAACCATTAACCATTAACCATGTTTGTACGCTGATTCTAAAAGACACCCGCACCACCATGTTTATTGCTGCTTTATTCACAATTGGAAAGACATGGAAGTAGCCCAGATGCCCAAAAGTGGATGACTGGATTAAAAAGGTGTGGTACATATACGCAATGGAATATTACTCAGCCACCAAAAAGATAAGCTCATGCCTTTTGTAGCAACATGGGTGGAGCTGGAAGGGGTCATGCTTAGTGAAAAAAAGCCAGAAAGAAAAGGAAAAATACCGGATGGTTTCACTCATAGCAGGAAGATAACCGACCAGGCGAGAAAATAATGATAATGATGAGCAGCTATATACTAAAGACATTTTGTGGGGGTGGAGTGGGGAATGGGGTCAAAAACAATGGGGGGAGGGAAGTGCACTGGACTATGGTGATGGCACACAGTGATTTGGTAATGGGAAGCCCAAGGGGATTGCAACTGAGATGGAAAAATGCACAAAATGATGTAAAAATAAACATTGTGTGTGTGTATATATATATATGTGTATATATATATATGTATATATATATAAAACCTTTCACACACACAAAACAGTGTTTGTATACTCACGTCCTAACAAGTCGAGCTTCTGAACATCGCGAAAACCAAAGCCCCAGGGCAAGCTGGCTGCCATAAACTGTGCTCTCTTCTTTCTGGAAGCTG